TAAACTTATTTTAAAACAGTGTTACTGGTAAAAGTCACCCGCAATTACATGCTATTTGTCTGGTTACAGCTATGACAAGATTGAAGGGGACTTGTCAACCCTTTGTGACCTTTGAACCTTTCAGAGGTCAAACAAAGCAGCCGGTGTCGGCGTCTCAGTGGAAAGGTCACCCAACTTTATCCTCAAGTGACCTCATAAAAACTTTCCCAGAGAGCGGTTAAAGTCAAGTGAAGAACTGAATGTTTGTTCCACCGCTGTATTTATGCAAACACTCCCCTTTGTATTTGATCGCGGGTCTGAATGCTAAATATTTAAATATTTTAACTCAATATGAAATTGTCTCTACTTAAACGTGACTTAGTGTGACTTAAGTGATAAATTGGTTTCGAGTACCTATGAACCTTAAAGATTACTTATTACTTACACTATCTTTTGTTTTACTTTCAATTCAATTCACTTATTCATGGCATAAACCAGCTTAAAAATGATTACATAATTTTGTACATGCGTTTATGCAATTAACAAGATGCAAAACCATTGCAAGCTACAAACAGGTATAATAACTTAATTATTGACAGTTTATTGCAAGATTTAACACTCTAGAAAAATCTTTATGCTCGTCAATTTAAAATAAGTACTCTAAAAGGCGACAAATAGTGAAGAACAAAACCATACAAAAGACCGGCAATTGTTTTGTATAAAACACGTATGAAATGCTACATAAAACGTTGACAAAGTTTTTATCTATTAATACCCGACGTATTAAGAATCTTTGTACTATTTGAGTAATGCAAACTGTTGCTGTTCATAAATTTTTCAAGGTCTTTGTTTTTTTATATTTATTTTCATGTAATCACTTACTTCATCATAAAATATGATAATTGGTTGATAGCCAACCACTATTCATCATTCGTTTCGTCATTTCGAATCGTTTCATCATTCATTTCGATCCTTTATATCGAATTACCGTCTTGTAAGTAAACAGTATAAATGTTAATATATTATTATAAGTGCTACTTGACGTATTTTTTGTGCTTTCAGGTTATTTAATAACACGAACGACGCTGATCAAGAAGTTATTTAACATAAAAATGTCCATGCGCATATTTTTTCTTAAAATACTTCATCCTACAGCTGTAGACGAATATCTTAATATCGTTAGTAGTTCGTTGCTTCGTGCAGATGATTTGGGTTGCTGATACAATGGACTAGTCTTCCAAATAAGCCGTTTTATATGACAATAGATAGAAATAACTAATTTAAACTAATAAATAATCTTGTTAAAAATACAAATATTTGATATGAATTCCTAATAGCCAATTACATACTCCCTTGTCTTAAACCATACAGTATCTTCCGACAGATTTCACTTCCAGGGTCCGTCTAAGACCTTCCACGACCTCACAACGTTTTACACTGTAAGCGACTTCGGTCTTTTCTTGGTTTGTATATTTCATTATAATGAACGTGCTGATAACAATATCGGCACAACAAAGGTGCACATTCCGGTAGGCAGGGATGCCAACAGCGGAAAGTACTTAGCAGGCCGGTGATTTACCATATTTAGGCGGGAAGAACGACACAGATATGGCGGGAACACGCGCCCGCCACCTCTCTTACCGCCCGTTGTAGTCTCCGATGTTGTAAACCTGTTTAAGTCCTTTTCTGCGCAATTTTTTTGCGCAGTGATCAAAAGCGCGTTTGCAACTTTGATGTAAGAAATTCTTTGTAATTAAGGCACTGTTTTTTGGTTCTTTGCCGATTTTTAAACGTGATATATAACGTTTAAAATTAGGAAAAATGTAAATTAGGGGCTTCTACATACAAGTACAGTATGAAGAAAAGAGTTTTAATAGAAAAACAGTAAGAATAGCAACAAATATCACATTTGAAGTCTAAGGGAAAGATTTAATATTCTTCCAAAGTTTATTATTGCGACTTTTATAGGTTTGGAATTTATGGCAAAGTTAATTAATAAATTAAAACAAAACACGTAGTACGTATTTTACATGAATGTGATAAAGTTTTAGAAATTAAAAAATTTAAAGGGTCCGGCATAAGGGATTTAATTCATGATTCAAGAAAAGGCATGGGGCTAAATTGTAATGATGTCATAACTGTTAATGCACTCGATTGAAATAGCTAAGGATATTGAGAGCCAGGTGGTGAACAGTAGGTTAAATATATACCTCCGCCGCAGCAAACCTGCAGACTAAGTTAATTTCAATTCGTGTGATTAGATTTGTACTAAAATGTAAACAAGACGTATTTATTCATCAATTGAATACCTACCTGATTCAGCAAGTACTTAGGTTTGCTGCTACGAGGGAGGTAATAGGTGTTTTTGTCTAAAAGTTAATAGCATATGTTGAAAAAACGAATTATCCAAATTTAATCATCATCATATTTAAGTCATAAATAAATATATTTAAATATATCATAAATAAGTTAAACACAAAAGTTTAATTTTTCTCCAAAAGATAAACATGGGAATCTTAAAACACCAGGTTTTTGGGATTTTTCTCCGTAGCCTTTCATTTAACAACAGCGGTTTAATGTACAAAAGTTTTTTAAGCTATACACGATTGTTTGGTTGGTAATCCGGCATTTCTATGTATTAAGGGTGAAAATTTAAAACCTGTTCAGAGATTCCTTTTAAGTTTTAAGCTTCAAAAGCTGAAAAATAATAGAGGTTGTTTTCATAGTTAAAATTACCTACCACTGATGGTTGAGGGGGTAAACTTGTAACTTTAGAGATAAAAAATTTATTGAAAAACAAATTAAAATAATACACGGTAAATATAAGGAACGAATTGCTGTATAAGAAAATTTGTAGGTAACAATCTGTATAATAAATCGTTGCATATTTTTCATTTTAAATACATTTGGGTAAGTATGGAACCCATTCCACCCCTATTAAATCTTGAATCACACAAAATGCCAAATAGAAAGCTTTAAACTGCAAGAAAATACCAGTATTTTCAGTATTTAAGTAAATAGTAAATAGTAAAAAAGTAAATAGTTATGCTATTTTTAATCTCTAAGCATGTCTCTGCCCAAAATGAATGCAATATAAAAATTACAATGCAGAATCTTAGCTGTGATTGTAACTAGGATTGTGTTGCATACGACGATGTGATCAAGCATTATAGTTCATAGGTACCAGCTGAGTACTTTGAGCCCTCTAATATAACGATAATATGAATACCAAAAAGTGGTCTGGTATTGGTTATGAAAGAATTTGAAGTTATAAAATTGACATCACAAAATGAAGCTCCACTTGATATGTTAAATACTAAACTTACCTAGTTTTCTCACTGTATCTTCTGCTTTGGTATTCCTTCGCCATTATTAAGAATCACTTAAATGTATTGATGGGAGATTTGTCTATACAAACGTGTATAGAGTATTCTTTCACCTTTAAGTATCTAAAAATGTTAGTTATGGAGTTTCTCAGCTTTTCCTGTTAAGTGCCTTTCCTAATTGTTTTATGTCTGTAAAAAAAATTGGAGTGAGGGCAAGTTTATAAGAATATTAGTTTCATTAGTGATATTAATATTCTACTTTATTGGTGAAGATTTGATTGGGTTGAATATGTAATTAAAATGTAAAAATAATTACTTCAAAATTATATTAGGTGCTATTATTTACATTAAACATTTACGCAACACTACAATTATTCTGGCTGTAAGCTTTCATTTGTATTCGTCATTTAAAAATGTATAATAGTATTTAACATTCTAAATCATTATTTAAAATCTGCATACACCAAAAGACTTGTTAAATAATAAATATTTGTACACTCTTTCATAAATCCAGAACTAATTACCATTCCTAGATGTTCTTTTAAATACACTAAGCAAATTTTTTAGATAATAATTGTTATTTTTACGGCATTTGTAACTAATGCACTAACTTATAGTGAGTACTGCATGTCAAAATATATCATCCTTACTATTAATACCGAAGTATTAATTACAACGTTAAACTATGATAAAAATTTGTGACGGTAGATAGTATATTGAAATCTGCCATTTGGCCGACACATTTCAATTTAATGTTTTTCTTGCTAAGAAAATAAAAATAAAAAATGTTCCTTGCAATCTGAGTAATATTATTGGTAGAGTCGCAGTTGACTAGTGTAGTTAAATTCTCATTCAACGATTAGCTTTTTATACTTACCTTGTTATACTAGTAGTATACCTTGTATACTTAGCTTTGATTTAATAACTCGTTTTCAAGAGAACTTTGGGTGAATTGCTTGCAGTTATTAAAAAATAATGAGAGTAACTAGTTATTTTAACATTTATTAGATGCGGTTTCTCATTAATAATTGCAGAAGTGCAACGTGTAAACATAGTAAAAACTTAAACATACATTTTTTACACTCTCACATAAACTCTATATATATTTTTAATAATTTATAATTGCTGTATATTATGTTAAGATAGTTATATTGACCTGAGTCACTCTTTAAAGCAGTTATTTGTACTGCTCGGAAATAAAGGCATTTTTATTTATTTACACAGTTTGGCTCATGAATTGACACTAATGATAAAAATCTAATGTTTAAATGAGCCATCTGTATACATAGTGCATTTTGAGTTTGATTAGTAATTTTTTTATATTTCCATTTTTTCGAACCAATAATTTAAAAAATCATGTTTTTCATAATAACCTTGTTTAACATTTAATTTACATATAGATTTCAGGTAATGATACATAATTCTATTTCATGAATCATTATTAAATCCATTTAGTTTTGCACTTTTTTTAGATGACTATTTTACCTTTCCCACAAATATTAATGAGCATAAAGTTTACATTCATCTTTATATATTTTTTATTAAAAATGTATTTCATCGATAAAGCACAAACCCATTTAAAAATCAATAACATTATAAAAAAGGTAAACGAGAAAATACGTACTCAAAACAACCTTCAAACATATAGCTACTGTGATGGTATAAGGTATAATCTTGAATAAAAATGTCAATGTAATAAAAATTAAATCTTTTATTTTCTACAGGTTTTTGCATGATCTTACACTATTATATTGACATGGCACATAAGATTTCACGTATCAAAATGGAATACATTTATCACAACCTAGTGAGTGTATGAAGACTTGTTTTATAAATTACCTAACAGAATAAACCGACTTGGTACATTTAACATACATTTTTTGCATGTACTTTGAAGATAAATCAACTTAACAGATCTTCCAGAAAATCATTATAGATTATGTTAAATATTATCTGGTTTTAATTTCTGTCGAAAAAAAATTATAAAACCTCTTACATGCAGTACCTTATAAGGTCTAACTGAAATATATAATGCTGAACCAAAACTTTATTTATATATACCATATGTCTCTACGTTATGATGAGGGTGGGATATACTCTAGCCCAGGTGGATATACTTTAGCCAAATTTTTAAAACTGAAATATACTGTATAATGGCAACAAAAGTACATTTATAAATACTAATAGTCTATTTTCTATTTTGGAATCGTGTTAAAATCATACTCATAACATAAAATCTGTACTCTAAAAGATTTGAAACTATATGCTTTCTTTAATGTAAGGAAGAGAAAGAAATCAAAATTTGAGGTATCTTAAGCAAGGATTGAAAAGTGGTGGTCATAGTATAGCATATGCATTTCTTTTGGTTTGGATAAATGCCTGAAAATGTTTTACAGAGTAGTATTTAAGAATAACAAACATTTTGTTATTTAGTTTATTGGTATAATATGTTTTTTTGGTATTGAATGTTTCTGGACACAATACATAAATTAAATAAATGCTTTATTATTGTATTTGTGAACACAACTCAATAGAAATGTGCTATTTGTTAATTTATCAAATTCTTTGTCTAGTGGTGACATATACAAATCAAACTATGAATTAACGTACTAGAGTATTGAAAATTGATTTGCTTATTATTTATTAGAAACCCGTAAGCTATGAAGGATTTTATATTCCATTCTAAGATTGAATAATATATTTCAGTATGAAATAATAGGATTTATAAATAGTTATTAGATCACTGTAACTTCTACTCTTTTATGACTCATACTGAAAAGGCAATTTAATTGACTAAGTTACTGCAATAGCATTTATAAAGCTTTTTAAATTGTTTATGAAACCACAATAGATAAATAGCCTCGATAAAATATCGATAACAAACTATTTACAAGTACTTACAGTTTATATCACAATGGACCACTTATATAAAAGCACACTTCAATGTTTTCACTTCATAAAACACCTGGAGTTCTACGTGATGAAGAGGTCGTCTAAATTAACTGGTGAAGGAGATAAACAATCAAATTCCCTCCAAGATATGTCCGGGTATTCCTGCACTTCCACGGGGGACGAGTCTTTAACTTGGGGTGGGAACTCTGTCGTTGCTGCACTGGTTAATGTAGTGTACGGGGGAAGAACTGCCTTAGTGGTCCTAGAATCCACCGCAGAAGTTGCTGCCAGTCTAGAAGTAGCGATAGACTTTGAGTAAGCACTCAAGTCGAATTTGAGAAGAGAAGGTGAACTCCTAGAAGGCGAATTGAGTGTTTCTCGTAAAAGAGGCGAAAGATCACATCTTGAAGAAGTTGACGAATGGTCGTCGAAGGAAGAAGAGATGAACAGCTGATCGAAGATGTCAGAGTGTTCACTCGTAGAAGACGGAGTCAAAGAATGTTCCCGACTTTGAGCTGCGATTCCGTAGTCACTAATCAATGATTCACCATCAGAGTCAAACTCAGCTTGTCTCAAAGCGTTGTCTAAAGCTGCGATGTACTTCATTGCCAACCGTAGCGTCATAATTTTCGTAGTCTTCTCATTGGGGTTTTCACTTCTAGTGTTGCAATGAGGCAAAACTCTTCGTAGAGCTTCGAAAGCATCGTTGATTTCTCTCATTCTCGATCGTTCCCGCGCATTGGCAGTTTTTCTTCGGTATTTACTCAACGGAAGAGATTTTTGTTTCGACCGCTTCTTCGATCGACCTCTAGGTCTCCAGGAGTCTTCGTGGTCGGAATCTTCGTCTTCTTTCTTCAACGACGCTCGAGGTCTCAGGGAATAACTTTTCTCCGTGTTGTTGTTTGGGTCGATCTCGTCCATTCCATCTTTGCACACTTCCATCTTATATAAAAAAATAAAGAAATTCAAGTAAATCACGTTAAATAAATTAGTGTAACAAATTACGTTGCATATTTTATATATTTTTTTTTCAAAATTAGTTATTTATATCACATTTTAAAATGTTATAACGATAGTAAAAAATAAACACTTTCTTCAAAAAGTTCGTAACTACTTTCACTTTCGTACGTAAACTCCGGCTCGCGTCGCGCGTGTGCTCACGGCGCGCTCCAGTCAAGCACTGCGGTTGTGAAGCTGCAGAGATGGGATAGGGGCTATTTTAGTCAGTGTTACAGCTGGTGCTGCAGTCTAGCGGACACTCGGTGAACCGCTTAACAGATCTTCGGTAATACCTAGCGTTAAAGTCTCCAAACGAGAGTCAACTATATGCAAAATGTAAAGGGGTAATACAGATTTTATTGATATTTTTTAAATTTAATTTCGTAAATAACTAAACTTAATAGATTAGGCTACAGTAATTTTTTTTCTTGTGTTATACTACTATATGTGTAATCTAATCTTTTTTCTTTTCATAGATCTTCGTGTAATGGTAATTCACTTTTGCAAAGTTTTTAAGGCTGGATGTTACGTAGTGTTACTTAGTATTGCAACCTCATTTACAACTAAGTATAGCGTTAATCACATCATTGTACATGTTTAAATAGTCATATTTCAATCCACGTAGGAATGTATCAAATCTTACACCCAAGGAAAATACAAAATGTAATTGTTGATTAGTTTATTTCCCAAAAAGCTTCAACAAAAGCAACAATTTAAATAAGGACGTACTTCCTTCCTCCCTTATTTTTTAATTACTTGGTAAAATGTGTAACGATATACGATCAACATTTGGGAAACATTTAAAATCAAAGAATTAGTTATCCTCCATTGCCACTTTAACTTTGAACTATTATTCAGTATGAACAAACGCTTTCTAAGGTGAAACTTAGTGGATTTTACATTTTGAATTTTCTTTTATGAGAGTTGAAGATTTGATGCGTTTGAATTAAACAAAGACATAACTATCCTCATTAAATAACAATAGCATTAATTTAAAGTAACCGTTCATATTACATATATTTCCATCGTCAGTTACTGTTGAGACCAATTTACATATAGTTTGTCAAACAATAATGACTAACTTTTATTGAACCATTGACCCGACGATGGAGTAATTTACGAAACTGCCGTGGTGTATGCCAGTATATATTTCGTTTTGATCACAAAATTCCTTCCAATTATCCTGGAGTGGAATACTTCAGAGAAAGTACAATCCGCCGATGGTTGGCGCCAGTCCAAACACAAGTATAAACGTCCGATGCTTGGACTGGACTGGACTGAGATGCTATCTCGGCGTATTCACTCCACTTGTCCCACCGTCGAGATATATTCATTAGTAAAATAATTAATACATCCGCGGTTTTCTAGTTTACGTTGCCAAGTACCAGTGAATGATCCAAGTAATTAATTCGATGAAAGTACGTGGACTAAAATTATTCGACGCAATTTCTTCAACAGGTTTGAAATATGTTGTGGTTTTCAACTGAAGGCGTATTTTTTGTTTGCTTTGTAAACTGGAACATATTTTTCAGTTTTCCCTATAAATATTTTGTATCGCAAGAGTTACGTAAAATAAGGTCGTGTTAGCTTGAGGTACTTAGTTTATGACTTTTAAGTACGAGAGCTTGTAAGTAAATTGGTGGGGTTTTCTGTAAAACAGTTTGCCAACAAAACATTGGTGTTAGAACTCCAAGAGTGTGTTTAAAGTTAAACTGTAGTAAAATACTATTAAATAGTGTTATTAGATTAGAGTTAAGGGAGTCTAATGACGACATAAATTTTATTGATTCAATTTGTTACAATAAGAGCTCCTAAATAAGTATTCTTCGAATGCCACTTTTAGTCTCCAAGTAACTTTCCAAATGATAAATATACCCTTGTCACTTACATAAATATTATGTTAGATCATGTTCAGCAGTATTTATGTAGACTAGAAAGTAATAATTTATATATTTGTCATAAATGTCTAAGTTCCTTAAAAATTTTAATCTAAATCTTTATAGTCGTCCCTTTATTGAACTAATTGTAAATGCTATAACACCAGTTATTCAATTTGGTAATAACATTTTACCTGATCTTATTTCTGTCCTTATACTTTTTACCTTATAATACGTACGATGCATGACCTTATCCCTAGCGATGCATCTTACTGTCTATAGATTTGACTTGAATTTTCCTTGGATCCAAATAGATTTGTAAAGAGTTGTGCTGTATTTTGTTATGTAAACACAATTCAAAGCTGGATTCCATTAGCATAATTGAGCTTCAACATTATTGGATTACCCAGAATCACTCACTTTATCTACGTAATTACTTAATAAGCTTCTGCATATGTGTCTAGTAAATTTCTGTATTAGAATATCGTTTTGTATCAACAAACACTAATAGCTTCGGCCGCCTCAGGCTTATAGTAAGGGTCAGTCTGAGTGGGCAGAAGGCCATGTGGTTATCTGATTGACATTTTGAAAGGTATCAAGTGTTTATTCTATAACAAGAATAAAATTTGAAATTTCTCGTTTAATTGTGTTAAGACTCCTGTCCCGTTTAGCAATGAGTAATTAAATTTCCAAAACACTCCTAAAACTCCTAAATTCCGAAGACTCTCTGAAGTATAAACACTTATTATTGACTAATCTTTCATCATACAATATTATTCTAAATTGTATGTAACCTAAATAAATATTCGTAATATTTGTTGATCTCTCATATTAGGGTGACACTAAAGGGGATTCGATGTATTAAAAATTAAGGTCATCCAATGGAAAAGAGAACTCTATTATTGGATGGATATTAACTTATTTAACTGCAAATTTGAAATAAAATAAAAACTTAAGGATCGGCTTTATTAAACTTCGTAAAGTTTATATATATTTCATGGTGCTCAGTTAATACATTAGCAGCCCTATCTCGTAAAAATCATATCACTGAGTAATATTACTTTAGTATGTGAAGTTTAAATCCTATTTTTTTCGAATCAATATAACATTCTTGTCTCACTAAAATGTTATACAAATGTACAATTCTTACAAGTCTGTTGTAAGAATGTCTGAAAATTGTATTACTACGCGAACTACAAACATTATATCGTCTTAACATTGCACTTTTTGAGCTACAAATGGTCAAATCCTTCAAAAGGTGGGACATACAGTTTAGGTAATAACTATTCAGATTATGTAGACCATGAAAACCCATTTTACGAAACAATTAAAACTATTTTCTAATCATTTTGATTCCATAATTCCTCCGTTAGTTCATTCTTCCTTCAGTTCATAATAGTAAGTTTTATTAATATTTGTAAACTTTAGTAAAACAAAACTATAAATTATTAATTTTACATCAAACCCGCTTAGCAAACACATGTCTAAACTCTACAAGATAACAGTAAGAAATGCACAACAAACTAATAACAATCCACAACATTGTCACAATACTTTACTCCATTCCGTGTGACAGTGTGTTTAAATGTTACAGTGTGTACTTTAGTAGCAGTAAAGAATGAGCACATTACCTCTATATTAGATTATTCGAGTGGGCCCAACTACCGCGCGCCCACAGAGTGTTGAAATACGACCGTTCTTGTCCCCCGGTAGCAGCAAACCTGCGTAGGTGGTACTGTCATGGTCCTGTTTTGTAAAGCACACAACTAATGGACAGTCCCTGAGTGCCAGTTTACACGTTTTGACTTGGAATTGTTGTTTGGGATTAGGAGATTTCGCTTAGTTTGTCTACAATTCACATTGTAATTTGTTTACACACTTGACTATCCTATCAAAACTCGATCAAATGTTCTATTTTTACTGGGGGTTTTTGTATATTCATAAGGTTGGAAAATGATACGTACCAAAAGAAAGAATATTTAGTTTGAAGTTTCGTTTTAGTCTTCAGATCTCAAAAGGACGTGTCGATGTGACAATCTCAAACTAAATGAGTTTGATAAGAAAGCTAAAAATTGTATAACCATTAACATACTTATGGACAGTAATATAGCATAAAACAATAAATTTCATATCAAAACACAACGGGTTCAATAATAGTCCGCGTACAGCATCAAACATAGAATTTCGTACATAGGATTTTATATCCATAAATTGAGTACGCTTTTAAAAATACTTGAAGTACTTTTTAAAATACTTAAAGGATACAAAACGTTTCCAAATGGTTTAATATAATAAGTTAATCAATTATTCATATATGGAAAATTACATATGTTTGATTACATAATAACAAATTATTCAACTTTTTTTACTTTTAGTTTTAAGAATAAAAGACGTAATATCATAAACATGTTTGAATGATTTCATTGAACTTAATTTATTTAAGATCGACTTCCCCTTTTTTCATCAAAACTACTTCATAATGAATATTCATAAAATTTTAAAACACTCATAATTTTTCTCTAAAAGAATTAACTTTTGGAATGAGGTTAGCGTTTCCTTGATTTGAAATTAGTTCTTTCACCTCCCGTAGAGCAGCAGTCGCCACATAACAGACACTGGCAGTCTGAACACACCAACAGGCAACTAATCAATGTCTGCCTTGGCTACAAATATTTGCCTACTTCGCTTGCTAATTATTTGTAGAAAGTTTGACATTGCTCTATAACTGCGCTAAAATCATAATTATACAACGAGATACATTTTCCCCATATTTAGTCGTTAACGTTTTGCTTTGTAGTCTTCGGACAATTGTTGTAGGCACCAGGAAAATCGCTACAGGGCCCAACACAATTGAATATTAATAAAAATTTAATGAAGTTTAGTTCAAGCTGAGTGAAGAATTAAGATTACAGTTATAAACAACTTATTGTTTTGTAGAAATAAATCAATATTTTCTGAATAAAGCAAATGTAAAACCAATCACTGTTTAACTTCGTGATCAGCATCGTACGTGTTATTAAATTTACGCAAATGTTTATTCGTCTATTGGGTCTGATGATGATTGGAGTGTCCAATCATTTACCGTCTTGTATACCGTCTTGTGAGTAACAGTATAAGCGTAAATATATGTTTTAAGTGTTATAATACGTTTCTTTATTTACTTTCCATTAATAACTGTTCTAATAAATTTGTGTAAGCTCTATATAATTTCGTAGATCAAGTATTGGTCAACTATAAATTACTGTTTTACGTTTCGTTTTTTAAGATGTGTGTGTCGA